GTTAGAAAAAGCTGTTTGATTTACTAATAAAACATTCACTTCATCAGAATTATGTTTATAGCAAAAGCACACACCTTATATAAAAAGAATAATTTAAGAAATTGCATTCGAATTATCTGCGAATTGCACTTTCAAAAGCAAACGTTGGAAAAATTTTCTATTTCCTTATGAAATGTTAGTTGATTTAAATAAATTTAAAACAACATGCTAAGAATTATAATTCAACTTGAAAATAATAGTTCTTGTTTAACGACTTTTAACAGACCGACATTTTATTTTGTAATGTACATATCATACTGTAATGCTATTATTAATCTGTACACAAATAAACTCATACAAAGTAATCACCTAAACAATAAATAACTTATTCCTATTATTCCCACCATTTTTTTATACTTTTTGTTTATTTACTTACTTTTTTTAACTTCTTTCTATTTTTTATTTAAAAAAAAACTATTTCACTCACATAAAAACAGTTAAAACAAAAATAATTTTAATATGATTTCAAAAAATTAGGTCATGACAAGTTAAAGTTTATTGATTTTGACTAAATTCTGAATTGGAAGAATATAAACCAAGAAAAAAAAATAAAGATAAAAAAAAAGAAATGGTTATTGGTACCCAACTGCTTTCTTAATGTCTATTTTCAATCTTTTTTTTCATGTATTTTTTGATTTAGTGTATAATATACACATAAATCGAAATAAAAAATGTCTAATGAAAAAATTTCAGCATTTTTCCTATGTAAATGTTCGTGTAACGATTAGAAAATAAATATTTTTTTTTAATTTCAACTTTAATGCAGCTTGTAATTTTATTCATTATTTTCATTATATTTCTTTTAAATCCTTAAATTTTCTGTTCTTTAGATACGTAGGGACATAATTTATGTTTTCGTACAAATAGCAATAAAATTGAATTTTATTAAGATAAATACTTTTTATTTTGAATTTATATCTTACATATTTTATACGAGAAGTAATAAGGCATAATTACATATAGAATATAATTATTTCATGTAAACGTGGCCAATTCAAATCATTGTCGTAATGCATTATAAATTGAATTTATTCAATCATGGTTGATTATAATTTTGACAAGATGGAGAAAAAATTCCAGTAAAATTACCGTACTGTACGGTAAGGACTTTTCTGTTAGAGAAATTATTTCAATAAAATCATTCCGATTAATAAAATCAAAATATAGGGTATTTAAAATCATTCATTTGGTAATTTTACAGTTCATATGGTAACGGTTTAACGGAAATCCTGGTTTTAAAAATTATCACCACATATTTAGTAAAAAATACTAAAATGAAATATACATTTAACCAAATAAATGGTTTTTATTCCATACTCTAAGAAATTTTAAAACTACCGAATCCCCCCTATTCGCCAAATTTTACCACAGTTACCAAATTTTATCAGATATTATAAAATTATATTTTATCATTAATTCTGCCAAAATCATTGCCAAAGCATTTCAGTAAAAATTATTGAGCTTTCATATGTTCTCATACAACAAGAGAACTCTGTAAATTTTACCATATTCTGATAGTTTTTCATTCTTTTTTTCATACTTTTTTCTCAATGCACAATTGTAATAATATGGTATACTGATTTGTAAGCAAAGTTATTATTGTAATTATAAATTAGGACTTCTTGAAATCACGAATGCAAATAATTTTGTTTTAATAAATTAGTTACACTTTGTTGAACTGAATCAGCTTAATTAATTAGCCATTTTTATTTTAAAAGTTGTATTTTGTTCTCTAACTAATATTACTTTTTCTAAATATTACTTTTTTTAAATAGAAACAATGAATTTATAAAAAAAGTTTCACTTTTTTTTTCAATGTCAACAGACTATATTAACACATATTCAAATTTTGTTCACTTTAACACCTTAAAATGAAATTGAAACATGAGAAAGTATTGTATAATTTAACTTAATGCGTATGTTTTTTTTAAAAAAAATATTCTCATGGATCAAATGCTTAAGCTGAAAGAGAAGAGGCTAGATTTTGTTGGTTTTCGTTTCATAAATAAATACTTGATGAAAAAAATACATTAAACATCAGCATTGTTAAGCATTCATTTATGTATAGATTATGCCTAAATACTTAAATTTTTTACCAAAAACTCGGGAATTTGAAAAAAAGTTTATTGAAAAAAGTGTCAATTTTTTTCATAATTTGTTACAAGTTAAAAATTTAACTGCTTGAAATAAATGTGTATATTATATATTTTCAATTATTGTAAGTAGAAGTTATACGTATTTGTGAAACAAATTAATAAGAAAGAAATTAAAAAGAGAAGTTGATTTTTAAAATATCCAGTTTTGAAATTATACAGAATACTACTTTTAAAATGGATTGGATAATGTAATTTGAATGGATTACTTAAATTAAATAATAATAAAATTAATAGATCATATAATTTGTTCTAAATTATATTCCATTCAATTTTTTTATGTGTGAGAAATAGTTTTAAAATGCATTTTAAGAAAGCTAAATAGAATATTTCAATAAAGACTTTTTTAAGCAAAATAAACCTATAAATGTTTGAAACAACTATTTGATTTACACAATTATTTTCGCAAATTTATTAATTAAAGGTGCTAATCATATGGTATTCAAATGTGAGAAAACATTTTCTCTATTCGCATAACAATCTAAATACTTCATTGCTTTCTCTTTTTCAAACTTTAGATCTCGTAAGTGTAGTTAAAAATGCTATTAATATTTTATTTTAATTTTTAGAAATTTTTTTCATAAACTTAACGTAAACGATTTAAAATTTTCACTTTTTCTCCACAGGCATTGATTTTTTTAATTAGATTAATGTTATTATAAATTTTCTATTATTTTTTAATAAAAAGATGTTTTTTTTTTCGTCTTATCCAAATATTTTTAATTTTATGTTATTTATTGTTTACTGAAAATAATTTCAAAAGTTTACTTTTTCATTAGGAAAATTATTTTATTCATTTAATGAAGAGTAATTCATATTCTTACATAATTCAATAATCTTCAAGAATTCAGTAATATTATTTGTTTATTATTGATATTAGTACTGTTATTTAATATTTCACGTGTTTATTATTGATATTAATATTGTTATTTAATATTTCACGTGTTTATTATTGCTATTAACGTTTTATTTTTTTATTCTTAAGACACTTTCTTCATTAATTTAACGTAAGTGGACTTTTTTTTTTCACAGGCATTTACTTTCTTGAATCAGATTAATATTTCTATGAATTATAAATTATTTATAATTAAGAAATTTTTTATTTTTTTTATTTTGTACAAATATTTTTGATTTATATTGTTTATTCTTTTAATGAAATAATCTCACAACTTCAATTAATATTCGTAGCATTTTTTGAATTACGGACAATTTAAGTAATAATTATTTTCTTCACACACATTAAAATGAGTTACGAAACATTATAACTATAAATTATCAATTTTATTCTTTTCATGAAGAGAAATTAAAATTTTTGTAATACTGAATTAATTTCACGGAATCAGTAATAGTACCATTTATTCTGTATTATTCAATTACAAAGATTATTCGTCAAATACTTCTAAGGCCCCAATACAATTTTCATGGAAATTATATTGTTTAATTCAATCAACTCAAATAAATTTAAATAACAAACAAATTCAAATAAATCAACAACAAAAAATTAAAAATTATGTTGTTTTCTTTATTTAAAGTTAAGAAAAAAAGTATGATCTAAATTACCAGAATATTGTAAAATTTATTGTGCTTCTGGGAACACCAAAAAGCTTGACAATTTTTTCTGTTCCTCTTTGGTAATGATTTTGTTAAATTTAACAATAAAATATAGCTTTATTGGCATGCAGTTCAGTAGTGAATACTGTAATTTGCAATTTGGTAATTATATCATGATAACTTAGAGCACAGTATAAAAACCATTTATTTGGTTAAATTTACTTTTCAGTTATGTATTTTCATTTAATGCGAAGTAAATAGAAAATATAATTTTGAAAACTAAAATTTCTGGTAAACCGTTACCATATGAATAGGAAAATTACCAAATAAATGATTTAAATACAGTTTATTTAAGTTAGATTAATTTATTTAACCAGAATTATAAGTTTTTTTTTATCAGAAATGTCATTACCATACAGTACTGTAATTTTAGCCAAATTTTTTACTCTATGCATGTATTAATTTGAGGAACTAGATTAATCTATTTTTTTATCCTGTTACTCTATGTTACTTAATCATTAGGAATGCTTGTTAAATTTAGGTATAAAATATTTACACTCCACAGCAATTTTAGAAAAAGCGTATTTTTTCGCTCCTTTAGAGCAAGTAATTAAAATTTAATATTATTATTTTAGCGCTATTATGTTACTATTAATTATAAACAAAAATTCTCAAAAAACTTGATTTTATCCTTTTAATGTATTTTTTAATTCGCATTATATTCTTTAAGAAATAATTTTCATGTGTGTGATTATATTGGAATTCCATTTTTATATGCGTAACGCAAATAATTTAAATACTATTATTAATAAAACAACATTAGTAATACAAGGATTTGCTAATCTTCTCTTCATTACTGCTTATAGCTTAAATAAATGCTTTATACGTAGAAATGGAATAAAAAGATATGAATTAAATATTTATTTTCCATAAAAAACTGATAGGACTAAATATGCCACAAATGCAAGAAAATTATGGAATGCGAATTACACGTTACTGAAATAAAAGATCCGTTATTTTGCAACCAAATAAAATGATAAATAAATTAATTAGTAAAACAAAGAATTTACTTACCCTATGAAAATTTAGAATCTTTAATAGAATCTTGGTTTTAAGTAGTTTTCATTCTGAAATAAATTTTCTCAGTGAGATATTCAATTATTTTTNAATTATACGTTACTGAAATAAAAGATCCGTTATTTTGAAACCAAATAAAATGATAAATAAATTAATTAGTAAAACAAAGAATTTACTTACCCTAAGAAAATTTAGAATCTTTAATAGAATCTTGGTTTTAAGTAGTTTTCATTCTGAAATAAATTTTCTCAGTGAGATATTCAATTATTTTTAATGTGTCATAATTTTATCTATTCTAATTACATATTCATAAAAAAAATTCATAAAATAAGTATTATGATATAAAATTTGCTAAATTAAATAAATTTCTTATGTTAGTAGATAATTCGAGTAAATATTAAAGACAGTTCCTTAATTTTCAACATTTTTCATGCTATTTTTTGCTCTGTTAAAATAATCTGTGCAATTCTTTTGCAACAGCTATAATACAGATTAAGGCATAAAACATTAAGAAATTATACTAGGTTTATACATTAAATAATAATTAATTTGACCATAGCTAGCATGTTTTAGTTCTAGTATAATCTTCTCTGAACGTTTATCTTTATTTTAAATGATATATAAGTTGCTTTAGATCGATACATTTTTTGAGGTAACAAGTCATAATAAATTTTTTCATAAAATTAAAGTCATTAAAAATAAACTTAATGACGTATTCAATAATAATATCTTAAATGGAAATGTCTTGAATAAGTGACAATATCTTGAATAAATGACAATGTCTTGATAAATTATCCTAGCACTGATTGAACTAGATTCCAACTATGAAAAAAAAAATATTTCAAGGTTAATTTTCAGCACTAAATTTCTATTTTTTATATTTATTTAGTAGAAAAAAATCTTTTTATTAATTTATTCAATTTTTCTTTTATTTTACAATCAAAACCTAATTTCATCAGAAATACTTATGCATTTGAATAATTTTGGAAATATACACTTTATAACTGCTAAAACAATAGTAAATTTCTACGAAAATCAAACTTTTGAATTAAAAAAAAAGTTAAAATCAGTTAAAAAAAACATTAGATTTTATCAAAACTTTAAAAACTAAGTAATTTTAATAAATAAATGATTAAAGCATTACAAAAAAATTGAAAAATTGCGCCAATCATTTGATATAATCAGTACATTCTATTTATATTCATATTTCTCTATTTTTAATAATGCCCAAAAACATTCATTTAACAGAAAAAAAAAATTTTAAAAAATAAAATTTAGCGAAAATAACCTCTTAACAATATTAAAAAGAGTATCTTATTACAACATTACTGTTAAATAAATTCTCCAACTTTGTGGAAAAATGCACGATATTTTTCACTTTTTTTTAATAATAGCTCTGTACCTAATTAATTAAAAAAAATAGTTTTGATAAAGTTTCATATCAAGAGCTTTAATTTTACTAAATTTTAGAGAATAATTATTAAAAGAATGTTAAAAATATCACAAAATATCCTTAAAAATATAGTGTCTTGGATTTACTTGAAATGTTGTAATCATAAAACAAAATACTTTTATCGAACTTTATAAAAAAAATTTATTCATTAAAATCTTCTTAATAACATTTTCTAGGCCTAAAATTGCGTTTACAATTAATTTAATTGCTTAGAATAATGAGAAAAAATTTCATAACTTCGTTGCAAATAATATATTGTTGATGTTTTTTCTAAAACAAAGATATGTTTGATTTTCAATTTCTTTAATTCTTAGATGTGTACATTAAATTTCCATGTTCATAAACGTTGTGAAATTTGTGCCACAAAGAAGGAAAACTCATAATTTTTTTGTAGTCAAAATTGGTTAAATAATTATACACATAGATTAGACGAAGTGTAAATAAAGCGATGCACTTTTGTGAATATATGTTAATCCAAACCAATAGATATTTAAAAACTACATTCTATGTATTAACAGGGTTTACACGACCTGAAAAAAGCAAATGAGTGGTAGCTAAGATTTTTCGAAACTACTAAAAAATGCTTAAATTTAACTTTTATTTGTTAATTACAAAATTATTCCAGAACTGCTTTTTTAGACCCATCTATGTTTCCTGTAAATTAAATATTCATTTTTATCTTAAAACATCTAGTTTTATCTCCCTTTTGCTACAACTTTAAAATATTTTCCAGATCGTGGGAACCCTGATAAATATATAAATTAAATGTAACTATTATTCAGTCTAATAACACAAAACTAAAAATCAGAAATTATTACGTTATAATTTTATATATCTTGTTCTGAGTTAATTATAGCTCATAAGCATGTATTGATTCTCAATAAAGCTTGTTTTGACTTTTATAATTTGTTTTTATAAATAATTAAATCAAGTTTTAAAAAAATTTAAAAATAAAACACTTATTACTGTAAGAGATGCTTCATTATTCAGTGATAAATAGAAAATTTTAAGATTTAGTCTCTCCTGAATTTGATCTTCGATGTTTTAAATTTTTAATTATAAAAACTAAAAAATAATAAACTAATTTTTACGATTTTTCGCAATTTGTATGTCGTGCTCCAATTTACAACGGTAAAAAGTAATTTTTATCTTTTTAATGACAGATACATTCAATTGAAATGTTCTAACCAACATGTTAACTAATTAACTAAATTTAAAAAAGTTAACAGAAATGAGCATTTTATTTTTGAACTGAGAATTCTTACAACTTTTTACGGTACTTTAAAATTATTTCCGAAGTAAATTGCTCGAAAATGTCGATGCTTATTCCAGTACATTAAAGTTAGACAATAAAAAAGTGTAGTAACATTATATCCCAATACGAGTTGAAAACAAAAAATATTTTTCTAAATTGAAGCACTGGAACAAATAATAATTTCCTGCAAAATTTTCAGATTTTAAGTGTTATAATATTTAGGAAAAATAAGTTTACATCTTTAAATATATAATTAATCATTTTTCATCAGATTTAATAATAATTTTTTATTATTATTATTTGCAACTTTTAAGACAAATATATTTTAAAGAATATCATATGTTCTCTGTTACACATATTTTCTAAGAAGCTCTTATTTGTCTCTATATTATTTGCGCATGCGTCAAAAAGCTTTGTTCTAACTTTTTACGCAAAAGAGTGTTTACAATATTTTTATAAAAATAATACAAGAATATTACTTCAAAGCCTACGTGAAATACAAAATTTTATAAAATTTCAAAACAAATAGCAAGAAAAAATATCAGAATAACATATTATAACTTATGTAAATAAATAAATTTACAATTGTGAAATATTTTTTCTCTCAAATATTTATTAAAAACTGAGGTATGTACAAATATTTTTCATAAACGTTTTCTGGAGAAAGATTGATAATATGTACATGTAACTGCAAGATAATATTATTATGACATCCGGCAGTAACAAAATTATGGCTCTTTTTTTTCTTTTTTTACGAAATGAGGAATATAATCACAAGAAAAATCATGCATTAAATAAAGTAAAACCTACTTGTTTTTAGATAATTTAAAAAATTTTAGATAATTAATAATTTCTTAATATAATTGTTTCCTAACTATTCACTAATATCAATAAAGAAAAATAAATTATCTTAAGAGTGTTTCAAATTATTCCCGAACTTTCTTAAATAATAGAAATATTATTTACTTTTCTATCTTAAAACAAGTGTTCATTAATTGTGCTTAATTAGAACAATTAATCAATAATTTATGCAGGTAATTAGCACAATAGGACATTTAATTATATTTTTTTATCTTTGTATTAGTACTGTATAATTCAAATAGATATACATACAAAACAATTATTGACTGAATTTAATGGAATATTTATAAATTTTTAGTATGTTGTAAGAACTTTGTTTATGGATACCGTTCTTATAAAAATGGATAAATATCTCTGCTGAAAATGTGTTAAATTTCTTGTTTATAAGGTTTTATTTTTTTAATAAAGAATTTTACAGAAAAATACTAAGCAATAAGAAAATCAAGTATCCCGTGAAATCATTTAAATTCTTGCGAAAAAAAACTTAAAATGAGAATAATGAAAAAAATAGCTGATAATATCGGTTGTTGCTGTAAGCACTAACTAAAATACTCTAGACAGAGTTTCTCCGCTAGGGGGGGCAAATATTTGAAAGTACATGCTGTAATTTGTTGAAACATGCAGTAGTACATGCGGTCCAGGTTACAATAGTCTACCCTATTGTTAAACATATTGATACAAAATGTTTTTACATTTTAATGCTGTACTCCAACAGTCTTATGGGGGAGAAATTATATTAAATTAATGCTTTTCATAATTGTGTTTATTTTGCCACTTTATTGATAAATGTTTATTTTGAAACTATTATACTACAATTTTTTTTCATTTTTACTTTTAACTATAGAATAAGATGCCAGATTTTTCATTGCATTTTAACACTTTTTTTTAAATACGTCTAAAAAGCCCAAATCTAATCAATAAAAAAATTTAAAGAAACACGTTTCATTTATAATTCCTTTCATTTTATTTTTGCTCAAAGCTTTTTAGCATTTATTAATTGTTTGTACAGGAAATTTATTTAACTTGAAGTTAAAGTGATTTAAATAACTCAACCTAATCAATCCTACTGTGCCCGATATTGAAGTAATTAAAAGACTAATATATTGCATACTAGAATTAAACTAGATTAAATATCTATTTGAAATTAAAACAAAAAGAAACGAAATAAAAGAAAATTCCAAAAAGTAAATAAGTGGTTGTAATAGCTCCTCAAAAATGACATTCGTTATCTAGCAAATTATTAATTTCGATTTTATAAAGCAAGATAAATAGAAAAAAATGTATTTCTTGAGAGTGCGATCTCATATTTTTTCTTTAAGCAACAGTGAATTTAAAGCGAAAATAATGAGCATAAATAAAACGTTTTGGACATAAACATCATAATTGTTTTCGATATTTCTGAGCTAGGTTTCTAATGAATATGCTATTAAAATACAGTATAGTTTCATTTTTAAACTATATTAGCTTAATTGAATGGTAACTGTAAACCGAGAGTCGAAAAAAATTAAGTTCCATGTTTGAGAAGTCGTCTTTTGATTTGTTTTTAGACTTTCCACCATTTCTAAAACATTTCTAATGGATATGTAATTCTGAAGCAGTAGGGGCTTACTCCTTTCTCATTTTCCAAAATTATTCTAAATTGAATTCCTTTTACGGTTTCAATT